GGCCGCGATTTCTGATATTATTTTTCTGCGAAAACTTCGTTGACCTTTGGAGACATCATTAATATAAATAATTTTTATGGCCGTTAAATAAGAAATGTTTCTTTCACAAGAAATGTATAAAATTACAGTACTAAACAGACGATAGGTCGCCTAACTCGCCGTAGCGTGACGCTAGACGGCGAAAAATATATATTTAATTATAATAAAGTTACAATAAATTAAGTTAATATATAATTATATATACAGTACCTAATTTATATATAATTAATATATAATTATATGTACAGTACCTAATTTATATATAATTTATATAATACTGTCCAGACGATAGAAATCTCTCCGTAGCGTGGCGCTACGGACGGCGGGTAAGTAGTTCGGCTGCCCGATGACGTTTTACGTATTATAGGAGTTATTTTTACCGTTGTTTACGGATAATGCCACAATTTTTATAGGAATCATAACTATAGGAAACGGTTTTATAGGGGATCTACTGTATTTGTACTTTTTAAGAATTAAAAGAAATAAAAAGTTGAAAATAAGTGTTAAAAATCAATAAATCTCAGAATAAGCTCTCTATAATTGTATATTTTCTTATCCTTAAGTCATATATCTTGATGCACTAGTCTATTATAAATATATTTTGAGTTACAATCCATAATTTTTTAAGTATTAGTATACAGATAATGATTTTAAGTACATTAATTCTATTCATGCTCATGCTCAAGTGTTTTTGTATGTAATTTAGATGGCATGTTTTACACTAAAAGTAAATTGTTTTGTAACAGAGAACAAAGATTTTTAATTGGCATGTAAATTTAGAAAATGACTCATTTCTTATGTGTAATTCTCTTAACTTTTTATTACTAAACTAAACTTTGTATAATAGATATGACAACTAACATTTTGAAATGAAGAATCTCTAATCTGTTCTATCAACCATAAAGTTAATGCTGTTTGTAATTTACTTTTACATTATTTCCCTTTTAAATATTAAGAAGCATTGCAGATATATAATAATTATTATTCTATATACAGTTCTTAATTTCATCAAAATATAGATCTGATTTACTTTTTCTAAACCATCAAAAGATAACCAATTTCCAAAAATATCATTTTAAAGAATAAGCATGCGATTACATTGAAAAATTTTTGTAAACAGCTACTAATTACCAGATTTGCATGATTGCAAATTTGGTAATTGTTGGGTCAAATTTCCATAAAAGAGAGTAAAAACTCTCTTTTATGGAAATTTGACATCTTAAATAACTTCAATTGTACATACAAAATTTTTTATAACTATTTTTGTGTATTTAGCAAAAAGTAATACAGTCGACCCCTGTATAAGATCATTGATTATTCCGTTTTATATGAATTCCATGTTGTACGAGTCACTTAGATTTTACAAATACGTGTACNGTTGTTTGTGTGCTTGCCGTAGAATGACTGAATCTATGAGTAACTGTTCTTTGCATCCCCTGTGATTTCTACGGCAATCTTTTTGTTGTTCTGTAAGAATGTCGTGTTCTTCAACATGTTTGTATATTTTGTTTGTGATACAGGATGTCAATAATTTGTAGAGTGTTGGAAGACATGTAATTGGACTGTATTGTGTGAGGTCTGTGGTGGTGTTTTTAAGTTTCATGTAGGTGATGCCCTGAGTAAGAAATTTTGGCATGTCTTGTGAGTTGATGATGATGTGTGTTAGATGTTTAGCTAGTTCCTGTTGCAGTGATGTAAATTTTTTGTACCAGAAATTGTGAATGTTATCTACACCAGGTGTCTTCCAGTTGTGCGTTCTGTTCACAGCGTAGCGGATGTCGTGTATGTTTATTTCAGCACAGGGCATAGTTGGTATGTTGTGCAAGTTTCTGTTCTCCTCCTCGATCCAGTCTGCATCAGCATTGTGTGTAACAGCATTGAACCAAAGAGAAAACCAATAAGTTGTGTGTTCTTCTTCTGTTGGTGTGCCACTGTGCTGTGTATCAGTGTTTGTTTTGGTACTGATTTGTCTGTAGAAAAGTTTTTCGTTGTTTGCAAATAATTTATTTTGTTGTTTTCGTAGTGTACATGTTTTGTATCGTTTGAGTCTACGTGCTTTGTCTGCGAGTTTTTGTTTTAGTGTATCGATGTATTCTGTAATGTGTGTGTTGTGATGTTCGTGTTTTGTGTGTGTTTTGATTTTCTTGAAAATGTTTTTGAGTTGTTTCATTAATTTGGGTGTTATGTTGTTTTTAGTGTATTGTGTCAGCCTGCCTAATTGCTGTCTAACGTCATTTATTTGTGTTTCTATTCTTCTCTGCCAGGCAGGCTTGTGATAGAATTGTGTTTTGTGTGTGTCTGTCTGTGATTGTATTTTCAGACCATGGTGTGTCACTACTGTGACTGTCCCAGCATAAACTAATGTATGAATGTCTGAGAGTGTAGAAATTGAATGAATGTAGTGTGGTAGTGAGTGTTTACATAATTTAGTGTTTTTCCTACTTCCTTTGACATGTTGATTTTTGTTATTCATGGTCTTTGTGTGGGATCTGTACCAGTATATTAAGTGAGTGTTTCCTGAAATATAAGTGAGAGCGTATTAACTAATTCTATGTCTATGTTATCAGTGATGGATGAGGGAAGTGCCTGTAGTATCATTAGTGGTAGTTGTTATATGTGTGCTATTATCAATGCTTGTTTCTATATTATCCTGACAAGTTACGTGATCTTCATTAATAATGTTAAATGTTTCTGTGTGTTGATGTATTTGATCAGCAACCTGTTTGATAAGTTCAAGTGTTGTTTGTGGGATAATGTTGTTGTGTATAATTGTTCTTTTCTGATCGATAACCCTTTGTTCGGTGACAATGAGGTGAGGATATTGTTGTGTGAATCTATGGTATAGTTGTTGTCTGTATGCTGTCATGTTTGTTTCAAGTTTTGTGATTGCGTAGTAAGTACGGATGATAAACTCGTTCATTTCTGATGTCCATTTCATCTGTTGGCCTTTGTGGTCTGTGGATGCATTGCCACAGAAACACCAAGGCTAGGTTGATTCCTCACATCTGTTGAGGGCATTGCAGTAGCCATGCTTGGGCCGGTGCTGCTTTTGCCACCGGTAACCAAGGGAGACTGTGGCCTATTTTTTGAACATGAGCCTCTGCCTAACCCACAAACGCAGACCTTGTTAACCCAGGCAACGTCCGAGCCAATATCACACTTTGATCTGGTTACTACCATTATGAATAACTCCATAGAATGTGGGTGTGGTCACTCTTAGCTTCATTTCTCCCCATAGACCTTACTGACATGGGTGTCCCTACTAGGAGCTTGTGCTCCAGCCTGCATTGCCCTATGGATCAGTAAAATGACTGGGTTCTCCCGCCATGACCAGGTGGTGACCACAGGAGAGTTATTATTATTATTATTTTAATCCATTAAATAAGAATCATGAGAAAATTGAATAAAATACACTGTATTGAAAAACCATTTTTCAATACAAAGTGTATTTTTGAAAAGTGTAAATGTAAACTTTGTTATGCAAATTTTTAAATATAATTTTAACACATTTTAACCATTGCTTTAAAAAAGAAAGTAAAAACACACTGAGTGCAGCGTTAACAGTTTTTTATTTTTGCTAGTGCTTTCAAGAAATTTACATTCATCATCTTCAGTGAACAAAATTTAAAAAACTGTTAACACCACACTCAGTCTGTTTTTACTTTCTGTTTACACGATATCTGGTGTGAAGTTCAAGCTGTATTGTATCATTGCTTTTATAATAATATAATAATAATTCTTTCAGGTTTGTTGAAATCCACGAAATATAGTGCACAGAAAATAATGAAAATGGTGTCAGGATCCAGAAATCCTAATTCATACTCTACTAATATTGAATGAATGAATTATTGTTAAATTACTTCAAATATTTTGCCCCTTTGACTATATCTTTTAAAATGTGTCAATTTTCTCTGATCAAAAAAAAAAAAAGGAATCTAGCTTGATAAATTTAGTAAGTACAAGGAAATGTGAAATATCTTTACTAATTTTGTGTGGAAATATATAAATTCTTATTGAAAGAAAAAGAATGAAAGAAGAGATAATGTAATTCAAGAAAAATATCTTGAAGTTAATTTTTCAAATATAAGGCAAGTATTAAAATAGAAATTGACTGACATAAATAATGCCTTAACAATTTACAGTTTGATATAAATTAATCATGTAAATTTAAAGTCTTAGGAAAATATGTACAGATGTAAATAGTAATAACTTTTTAAAATCAAATGTAATTACATTTTTAAAATAATTTATATTAAAAATCAACTTATAAATTACTGTACTGTGTAAAATTTCCATTTTATTCTGTCTCAGACAGTAGAACAACACATTAAAAAGTTATCTTTAGCAAATACTACTAATGCTTATTGCAATAAAATTAGAAAATATTGAAATTATAATATAATATTTTGATTTGCTACTTTTAATTTAAATAAATATATATTTTTATATTGATTATTTAGTAGTAAATAAGAGTTATATATTTTAAAAACACAGTATATTCAGTAGTTAGAATGACAGAGAAAGAGGATAACTTAAGTTGTGAAATTCATTTATTTAACTTATTCCTACACTTTTCTTTCAGTTTGTTACTTTAAATTAGATTATGAATGATTCATTGTTTTAATATTTTCATTTCAATAAAATTAAAAGTTGCCTTTCAAAACTTTTTGTTTCAAACCTAATACAATGAATGTAAGTTTCATTGACTTCTAGAATTGTAGTGTTGCAAATAAAAAGTAAGAGAGTTTTATGTACAAAAAATATCATAGTAGTAAATCACAAATTTTCCTAATATCAATTAGATTTGATAAATTTATTACAAATATTAACTATATTCAAAAAATTATAAAATTTTAATATGACAGGAGAGAGGTGGGAAATTGTTTGGTTGTATGGTTCCCTGGGTCAACATTTTCACCAATGATCTACTGTTATTCTGTATCTGATTTGTTTGACCAGAGCTGTTTCCTAGTGTAGATGTAGTGTTTTATACTGATGTTAGCCTTTGCTCAGAGAGTAAGGTTAGAAAGTCAACAGTTTGTTCTGAAGTCAGCACTGTGTGAAACAATTGATTTCAGATCCAATATCTAGTTGCAACCATTTCTGGTGACAGTTGCAACAATAACTACCTCAATTACAGGTTCTCATTTCCTGAGATGAGTTCTAGTAAGAAATTAAGGCATCCAGCAGATCTTGAGTAACTCATTGAGTAGAATATTCCTATCCTCAGCATCAGGCTTATCTCTACCACCAATTGATAAATTTGCTGATGATGCAAGTTGCATATCATGAGTCATGAACAATAGGAGCAGTTGTCCTATAAACAATCGAGAAATGAAAGTCTTTTTTTGAAACAGTCAGGACACATGATCAATGATAAAAGTGACCAGTTGGCAGCTTTCAGGTGGATCTGGTCTTGGTAATCAATGATGGTGTTCATCCACTATCATTGATTACCAAGACCAGATTTATTAGAGCAGATGAATACTCTAATAAATCTTGGTAGAGGATTAAGTCACAATTGCAGTTTTGAATGGTGAGAAAGTTTGCTCTTATTTGTGCAGTGCATTGATTGAGAATGCTTAGAAGCATGACAGAATGCTTCTAAGCATTCTCTAATTTGTCAATACTAAAGATGCCTAAGCTTTAGTGATTTGGTGAGAACTTCCTACAATAATTCTTTCTTGAAATTAAACTTTATTTTATTAAACTGAAACATAACAATAGTAAAATTATTAAATTAACTTTTACTCACTCAAAACCTAGTATGGTCTCCATGAAATGAAATTACTGGAGTCTTGTTATACAATTTAATCCTAAAGACATTATTTAAATGTTTAAAGATAGGTACTAATATTACAATGTATTTGTCATTGTATAAAGGCTTTTTCTTTAAACAAAGTATTGGATTTGTTAGTAAATATGATACTTTGTTCTCACTAATTACTAATATTCTAGCTTGTACTGTTTGTTCAGTTTTTTCATTTACAAAACTAATAAATATAATTATGTGATCCCATTTTCAGCTAAACTTACAACTGATTTATTATTGCAAAAATTATTGTTCTAGTAAATGAGGTTTCAGCCAGTTCCTCTAGTAATATTTGAAGATATATCCCTTTTTTACATCATGCAAAACAGAAGTTATTTCTGCATCACATTCTGGTAATGAAACATTTTCTTATGCCTTTGAGGACCAATTTATCTGATAATTAGTGGCTTCTTATATAAAGTTGGTAATAGACTTTATTTTTTCCACACCTCCAACTAGCATCAGCATAGCCTTCTAGTTTTAGTTCTCTTTTTAGATACATAATTCCTTATTCAGTACTTCAAGTATCTTGATATTCATTTCACAGCATCATAATGTATTTCTATTGTGTCTTTGCTTTCAATGAAGCTGTTGGTGGAAATGCTAAGTCTGGTCTTGTTTGTTTGCTAGATAATAAAGTACCAGGAAATAATTGATCATTCACATGAATGATCAATTATTTCCTGGTACCTTCTTGGATAAAATTTTCTAGTTCAGCATTGCATCCATAGGTTTATTCACATTTGCAGTTTTCCATGTTGTTTGTTTCATACTCAAAGTGATACAACATATATTTTAATCATTTTCTTTCACTATTTCAATATCTAGAATATTATCTGAATTTGTTTTCTTTCAGCTCAAATTGTTTTATATTTGTATAATAGCTACCTCTAATACAGGGTTTCCCAACAGAGTAAGTATTGATCCGTTAGAGGTAACGGAGCAAATTACATAAATATTGTGCATGCATATACAGTATAATATTTTAATATTGTTTAATTTGTAGAAAATTTTTCTTAAAAGGTGTTGATACACAAAAGAGCTTGAGAATCCCTGCTCTAATATCTTTGGATCAGAGTTAGACTATCATATCATCTTCACGTGACAATAACTTTCCACCAGGGAATACTTCTAACCATTCTCTAATTCAATTCATCATTCTTTTTATATTTAATTTCATTCTCTACATCAGAGGTGGGCAACTCACAGCCCACATTAATATTTTGTGCAGCCTGCATCGCACAAAATATTAATAAATATATCAATTTCCCAGTTAAGGAAGTATGCAGCAAAAATTCTATCGTTATTTACTACAATTTAATAAAAAGTTAAACCAGAAATCGGCTACAGACTCGCGTGAAAACTAAAACTAGCAGTGACTAATATTCAACCAAATATTTTGGATATATTACATTCACATCAGTGACAGAAGTCAAATTATGCATATTTATGTTAATTTATAATCATATATGGTTAAATCACAATTATTTCTTCATTTTTTTTTCTCGTGTGTGACTCGCATCAGTTCACAAGTTTTAAATATGACCCTTACATAGAAAAAGTCACCCACCCTTGCTCTATTTTAACACAGTATTGAACTACTCAATCTATTTTGAATACTTTTCAACTCTGTTAAAACCTCTAATAATCTGCTTTTCTTGAGTTACATCTCTAGTTTTGACTATAGCTAATCCATAAATTGTCTTCTATCCCTTTCCTGTTTCCAATTTCTCATATATGCTCTTATCTTTGCCTGTATTACACTTCACTCAGTTGCTCAGATTTCTCATCTTCATTGATCCATGAATTGATAATCATAGTTATGACAAAATTATTACAAGAAATATCAAAAATTTTTCCTGGCCTTAAAAGAAAGATAAATATCTTTCTTTTAAAGCCAGGAAAATAACAAATGCAGTTTTTAAAACTCACAAAACAGAAGCATGTAGTCATTGTCAAAAGAATCATGTGAAATTTAAAAAGATTTGTAAACACAAATATTGAGATGCTTCTTGTTTTTCACAAGAAGCAAATGCATAAATTTATCTATATTTGGATAATTTTCTGAAATAAATAACGTATGATCAGATTCAAATACATCATTACACATTAAATTTGAAGATTTCTGGCATGATTTAGAACTTTCATATAGGAAAATTCTTTTCAAAAAGAAGTGTTTTTACTTATTGCTTGCATAATGTAACAGTTATTTTTCAACGTAAGTCATTAAATAATTAATATGCATTATATATTTTTTTTCTGAAAATAAGTTTGATTTTATTTGACTAGAAAAGCTACTAATAGTCATTGCATTTTCCTTCTCTTAAAGTAAAAGAAAATCTCAAATCAGCCTCACATTTATGTAAAAATATATTAAAAGCATTATAAAAAACCTGAATGCTAAAATGGTGATTTTGTTCAGAAAAAACATTTTCCAGATGATCTTGCAAATTGCTAATAAAAATATATAATCAAAATAACTTTTATTTATAACAAATTAGTAAATATAAAATTTATTTATATCTAACATTTTTGTTTGTTTACATTAAAAAAAAATATAAACAACACCGGAATTTTAAAATTAATCTTTATAGTCCATGAGAATATTTTAAAAATATAGCTAAATATATTATGTACTGTACATGATGGTAATTACAAGGCACAAAAATATTTCCAAAAGTTTACAGTTTCAGTAAACCATCTTCAGTTTTTCATTTTCTTCCTTTAACCTTTCAACTTCAGCAATGAGATGCTGTTCGTTTACCAATGTTTGTTTCAGAAGCTCTTGTATTTCAATCTAAAAAATAATTTTTTTATTCAAAACAAAAAGATTACTAGAAAAATATTTTTTGTAATAAATTTATCTTTTAATTACCAACTGAATCTGAAACTGTCTTATCATTTCAAACTGAAGCTGATTGTGTTCTCTACGGAGTGCGTCATGCAGATCTACAACAGAATCATCGACGACCTGACGGACGCAGTTCCTCAGAAGCTGTTGAATTTCTTGCTGCATCTGTTCTTTGAAAGTATTCTGAACTATAAGGTGTATTTCTTCTTTAAAAGTATTGTGAACCGTTGTCTTTATCAAGTCTTTTATAGAATTCTGAAACACGTTAAAGTGATATATAAAATTTAAATATATGAAGATGTAGAAAGGAAAAAAAAAAATTATTTTAGCATAAACAATTACAGTAGATCCCCCTATAAGACGGTAGATACGTTCCGTTCTTTATGAATCAATTTTGTAGGAATCATAGTTTACGGACTACGGCTGTTTGAAAGGTTTTCTTTCATAAAATTAATCGATTATAGAGTAATTCGACTCAACATTTCCAAAATACGTATATTTTTTTGAAAATAATCCGTATAAACTACGTTATAAACAAAAAATTGTAGG